TTCCCATGATTATATCCTTCTCGATGTTGAAACCAAATATAGTAATGTGGCATGAAATCTCTATTTACTAAATGCTTCCATACATTTTCACGAGAGCTAATTTTGGTATTGTTGCATTTCTGATAGGGATAAAACATCGTACCGCTTTCCTGCGAGAGCGGTGTAGAATCTGCTTGATGTATAAATGTCTCCAGTCCGTCAAGAAATTCTTTCTTCATTCTCCCGTAAGCATCTCTAGGGTTTAGGGTTTAGGGTTTAGGGTTTAGGGTTTAGGGTTTTTCTCATAAGTCCGTAACTCTGGAACTCAAAAAAAATTCCATCACCGGACATTTTTTTCTTTCACGTTTTCGGTTTTAGTTTTTGATGTGTTTCATTTGAAAGACAAATGACATATATATATAGAAAATTTTTGAATTTGATAGGTGAAATTTTACTACGAACTTATGAAAAAACATAGTTAGTTAGCCCAACCACAAACATTTTTACACATATAAAGTAGATACACTCAAGAATTCATCGTTAAATGGACGTACAATATTTCATCGTAAAATAAAAGCTAATTTTACGTCGACTTTACGACAAAAAAGTTTTATTTGTAAAATCCACGTAAATAACTATTTTTTACGACGAATGTGTTTCCTCGCTAATTTACGACAAATGTACGAGGAGTTAATGTTTCCTCGTAAAGCCGATGTAGACTAATTGTAAATTTACGAGTTTTCTATTTCTTCTTAGATTTTCCAGGTAAAGCGGAAGTTTTTGTAGTGAGCATGCTCTATTTATTCACGATGTGTCTTACAACTATTTTTTGTTGTTAAGATCAAATCGCCAGTTTTTATTTCCATATTAGTCTTTCTTTTGGGTATCTCTCTCAACTTAACAATACATATACTGTGTGACTTAAGTTTGGGGGAAGTACCAAGTGTTTAATCATGTTTTATTTGATGATTTTGAGTCTCATGCATTGCATTGTACATTTACATAAAAAACCAAAAAAAATAAAAAAAAATCGAAAAACTAAAAAACAAAAACAAAAATCATGTAGGTTGCATCATTTGCACTTTTAGGAGAGTCTAGAGAATATAGATTTAATTCACTTCCCTAGGGAACAATTATTTTAAAACACCTTGTGAAGGACACTTGTCAAGAGCTCAAAGTGACACCCTAGTTAGACACATTAAGTAGCTTGTGCATCTATTGAAAACCTTGCACGCTTCGAGCCTTGAAAACTCTTCTTGAAACATGTTTGCTTGCTTTAAATCGACATTGTTCTTGAAACCAGCTCCAATCTGAATTTTGGCTTAATGAACTTAATCTCTCTTGCATATGGGAACTTGCATACTTGATCATGGATCTCATACACATTTGGGTTATCTTATTCCATTTTTACCACTCTTTTGTTAACCCAAATGGTACTCCACACCCTTAATTTGAACCCAAGCCATTCTTTTGAGACCAAACATTTGATTTGCATGAGTGAGGCCTTCTTTTGATAGTTTGTCATGTGCAAAATCTTGAGAGTATTGGAGGCGACATAGGATTGTTCTCATCGCTTGCTAGCATAGGAACCTCTTTTGAGCTAGCATCTAGGAGGGTGGGTGGGTTTATGTGCTCTAAAGTTAAAATCTTAGGTTTTGATTGAGTTATCTTGAGAAATTTGTGCTAAAATGTGTCTTCAGAAAAGAAGAAAGCCATTAGGGACTAAAAGAAAGAAAAAGAAGCTCTAGATTGTGTATTAAGGAACACCTCCCCTAAAAAAAAAAAGAAACAAAAAAATAAGTTCGGGGGAGGAGATGTGTAAAGAAGAAAGTTAGAGTTACAAAGTAGAAAGCTTGTGATGAGTCCCTAGTTGGTTGTGCTAAAGTAAAAAAAAAAAAAGAGAAGAATTTGTTCATTGGGTGAGTGATGTGAGCAAAGGCTATTTGTGGTATGAGATGAAGAAAGAAAGGGTTAGAAATTGTGATCGCTTAGGAAAAGAGTAGAATGATGAGAATAAGACTGTGTATGCATGAGTTGCCTCTAGTCTTAGATAAATTTTGCATAATGATTAAGCTCCTTGTTCTTGAGTGATAGTCACTAAAAATGATGTATTTGAACCCTTTTCTTCATTCTCATTAGACCTTTTGCTTGCATAGCCAAATGATTGAGATCATGTGCCCATTTGTGAGAATTCACTTTGTGAAGTGTGTGTGTGTGAACTAATGTGAGAGCTGGTTTAAAGACTTGTAAATTGAAAAGTATTGCACCTTGCTTAAAGGCATAAGAGTGTGTTGATAGGCCTAGAGAAGCTAGAGTATGATAAGAGAGTGTGCTCATGCTACTTGGAATGCCTCTTTAGGATGTTAAGTTGAGTTCTTAGACGTGTTTCTTTTGGTTATGAGCTCCCACCTTCAAACCTCTATTTCCCATAAGTTCTAGAAAGTTCACTTGAGGACAAGTAAAGAACTAGTTTGGGGGAGTTGATGTCTTGCATATTTTCATTGTCTCACCCTTTCATCCATGTGCATTTTGATCATATATACTAGGATTTAGTCATATTTAGGTTGCATTTTGCATACATGAGTCTTTATCCGGGGTTGGAGTGTGCCATGGAGTGATTTGAGATGTTTAGGAGCTTTGTGATCCAAAAAGGACTGAAAGATGAGCATGGATGGAGCCTTAAAAGAAATCTTCTGCTGCTAAGATTTTGTGAAGACACAGAAAATTGAGTTAGCTTTCTAATAGAAGTGGTTTCAAGTCGTTTGAAGATGTAATCGAGTTATGACCAATTTACTAAAGGCATATCCACCCTGTTCGAGCATCCTGGAGCGGGGTCAGGGGGTCGGCCCAGACCACAGCGGACTCATGGCAGCGGGGCTAGGGGGCCGCTCGGCTTTACGGCTCAGTTCACAGCGGGGTTGTGACCCCGCTGCGCGTTTATGTTTGGACGAAAATACTTGCTTTCGAGGACCTTTTTGCAATTTCGTTTTTTATGTTTTGAGTTGGAAAAACCTAAGTTTAAGTACTCTTTGTAGCCTACCAGGCAGATTTTCTTTTGTTCTTGAAGAAAAACTTCTTTGGATTGAGATTTCATTGCTTTCATCTTGTGTTCTTGTTGATTTCTTATCTATTTCTCTACATGATTAATCTGAAATCCAATATGGGTTTGAGAGGAATCATGGAGATTAGTGAGTAATCACCTTTTGAATTCATGGGTTAGGGAGATTAAGGGTGATTAGGTTAGATCTAGGATGTTTTAGTGTTAGATTTCTCTTGTTCCTTGCTTATTAGAGTAACCATAATGCCTCTTTTGAATTGATCACTCAAAGGTTGACCTCTAGACATTTCCCACTCACAAAGTGTTCGATGAAATGTCTGAGTCAACTCTCTTAAGCTTTTAACAGTCTTTACCAGAGACACTTGTTGTTAAAGGTGTTAAGATGGCTAATAGATCTATTCCTAATGATTACTTTCATTCAACCAAAGACATTTGATGCTTGAGTTATGGTAGTAAATGAATATTCATCTAGACATAGAGCTTGTTTAGAATCGTATCTAGGCCTAAGGTAGACAATTTAATTGATCGCTTGCCATCCTTAGATCGAAACTTGATCACCCAATGTCAAATTCCCTATACCCATGAGTTCTCCTTTATCTTCATTGTCAAAGTTATATCTTTTATTGCATTCTAGTTATAATTAACTTTAAAAACCAATCAATCACATGATCGCACTTAAATTAAGCTAATACTTGCTTTCTCGGTGCTTTTACATCTCTCAGAACTGGTTCGACAATCATTTATACTACAACATTTGCCTTAGGAGCCTTGAAAACTCCTAACATCACTTATCTACCCAAAACAACAAGTGTTTACGTTCTTTATTTTATGTTTTGACTGGGACCAACACTCTAACACTAACTGAAGCTGCTAAAGACACTCATATTTACAAGAAACTAAGACTCAAATTGTTAACCATCTACCCACTTGCATCTTTAATAATGTATAACGATCTCATGACCAATTGTTTATTAGCCGGAAATTTAGAAACTTACTATATCAAAAGCATTCCAGAATATTTTGAAAAAAAAATACAAAACCAACGTTGGTCTCCATCATCTACAAAAAAAATTATATGTAGATACATTTTATCTTTACGACATAACCACGCTATGTAGATGAGATAACGATGTTGGATATGTATACACTAATATAATTGGTTGGAAGTAAGACATAATGTGGGTACTCAGTGTTGGAACCACTTTTAAAAAACATTGTATGGAGTACGAGTTCAATGACTCGATTGTTAGTCCACCCTTTGACAAGCAAATACAGGTACAATTTTCATCCACCCAAACATCATTAACAAGAGACGCAACCACTGCTATTTGTACAAGCAAATGACTAAGTTCGTTTACTTCATTTAAAACATGTTTATTCAATATTTATATCTTAATATTATAATTCAAAACGTAAAAACTATTATGAACTATGAAAATAATATTTAATAATATATTTATGTTCGCCGCAATTACAATAAATATCACTTCTCTGGAAAAAAAGTCATGTGGATCCTCAATTTCTTACATATAAAATCCCTAATATCATACATAAAAAATAACTTAACTTTCATCAGTAAGTCGCATCCCACTATTTGAATACATGTCCATAAACACCAATACCAAAAAAAACATAACCACAATTCTAACTTATACAACAAACCAATAAACAAACCAATAAGATAATTTATAAATTTGAATAACACAAATGTCAAACAATCGGCGCGTACCGCGGACATACCAGATAAGTTACATTTTAAGCAATCTATCGGTTTTTGGGGGTGTTCGTGTCAAAATGAATATGTACCAATTCTGATTCCAATTCAGGACAAGTCTTTCGAAAACAAAATACAATTGATAGACATGATTTAAGACTTCGTGCATGACAAATATCAGTTTGTCTGTTACTGGAGAGTAAGAGGAAAGGAGGGCTTGGGAGCAAATGGCTTGAAGCCATACACATTGCCATTTTACTTAGAGGACAGAAAGCTTGGATGATAAGATTACATGATTAGCATTTTCCATAAAATTTCTATTTTCAGACATAATGTCAGCTTAAATTAGAACAAATATTTGATCATCCTATCATCAGTATCCCCGTCTCAAAATAACTCGCTACAATGGATCAAAATCTTGATGCCAAAAAAGAAAGAAAGAAAAGGAGAATCATGGGACTTATTGCTTCCTTCCTCTTCCTTTCTTCGCAGGCTGTGTCTCCATCTGTTCTTTCCCGTTCACTTTAGAAAGATCAACTGCGTAAATAAAGTAAGCAATAAACTCAGAGTAGAATATAACACAAACATATTGACGTTGAAACATCCATTCTCTCTTTAATGAAAATTAAAGAAAATAAAATGTTACCATCAGGTCCTCTGGCCATGAGGGTGAAGAATATGTTATTAAGTTTCTCCATCTTCTTTGCTTCTTGTGCATGGTCTGTCTTGAACTTGAGACACTAAGGAAAAAAAAAAGGAGAACTCAAATCTATCATATGCTTTCACATTAAAAAAAATGGAATGCAGAGGATGAAACAAGACGGCAACAGCAAGGAGGATCTAATCAACCACAGAGGGTAGCAAGCATAACTATGCTTCAACACAAGCTAAAACCAAAGTAACCACACAACAAGGACAAGGTAAGATGAACACGGAGTGGTATCAGTAATCATCATGGACAACCCGAAATTACATCCACCAGATACAAAACTATGCAGACAAGATATCAATCATCAAACTACACGCAATTGCAATTGCAATTGCAATTCCAATGGACAATTATCTACTACAGATACAAACTCCACGAACATACAATTACAAGAAGCAAGCATAGAGAAGTATGACAACAAGCTTTACCTCTTTGTTATCAGGAACCTTGAGAACCAACTTGCCACCACAATGTCTATACTTGACGACATACCGCGTCGAACGGACTTGGGGCGATCGAATTGACTATGTAAACCATCGAGATTCAGTTGAACGGATTTGGGGCGATCCAATTGACTGTAATTTCTGAGAGACACAATTCGCAAAATAACCTCGACGGAGACTCAGAGGCCATCCCGCATAAGTGATGCGGGAGGGGAAATCCTTATTTTAATTTTTTATTATTACTTTTTTAATTTTTTCTTCTTGACTTTTTAAAAAATAAAAAATAAAAAAATAAAGTGACCAATAACAGGCAGCTATTTGGCTTGGGGCCGTGTAAAAATGATGAACCGGGTTCATTTGCAAGAGGCGGGACAAAACGAATTCATGGGTTTCATCTTTGTAATATTTTATTATTATTTTTCTTTTTAGATTTTTCTTTTTTAAAAATTTTTAATTGAACCAATCTCCTTCCGACACGTGGTGAACTCCACCCTCTTGGGATTCACCGGGATGAACTTTTGGAGAGAAGTTCATCACTGTTCATCTAGAAAACTGTGTGAACCCCTTTATAAACCCTTTATGAACTCTCAATGTATGCGTAAGATTTGACCCGAACCAAATTGAACTGCTTCAAACCGTCATTTGTTTTTGGTTTAATTTCAGTTATGAATTTGATTTTATATATAATTTTTGAAAATAGATTATTGACTTGGTTCGATTTCAAATTTTTATTTAAAAATTATAACCGAATCATACAATTCTAACCAATTATGGATACATCTTAAACAAAAATAACCAAATTACTTGAATTTCAACTAAATTAAACCTAACTGACTGAAATTTAAAAAAAATTCCAAACTAATTGAAGGACAATTCTCTAAAATAGCTCTTTTTTAGGTTTTTATCACAAAAAGACCTCAAAAATTAAAATGACCAAAATAGCACATTTTATTTTGAAAATTTTAAGTTTTCTTAATTTTTTAAAATTTGAAACCCTATCCCTAAAACCCCACTCATCAACTCTAAAAAAAAAAAATCTAAGATTAGTTAACCCAAGGGTATAAATGTATACTTAATAAAACATTTAAGTGTTATTTTGGTCATTTTAATTGTTAAGGTATATATTTGTGATAAAAATATTTTAGGTTTATTCTAGTCATTTTCTCCTAATTGAATACCAAACCAAATTTTGGTTAAAATTTTAAATTACTTTTTGACTTTCTATAACTCTTTTCATGTGTATTACGAAACTAGGAAAAATTGGCTGACGATCAAACCGGATCAAATCACATTAAACCAGACCGGTTCTTATCTATACTATTATTTAAGAAGTAAATTTGCTTAGTTGTCATGTTCTCCATAAGTTTAGGTAATTTTGTTTATTTATCATATTTTTAATATTTATATGTATTTTATTTGTAAATGAAACAAATCTATATGAATATATCATACTTTTAGAAAATAAGATAACTCTTGTGAATTATGTTGTTATCTTGAAATATACTTTTATATATAAAACTTAAATTTGAAATTAAGATGTAAACACTATTACATTTATCTAAAACGAATTTAAATTAATAATTTAATATTTTTCTAAAATAAGATAATCATTATGGATTATATTTTTATGTTGAATATATATTTTCCTATTATAAAACTTAAAATTAAGATATAAAAATTATATTATTAATAATTAAATATAAATCATAATTAAATATAAATCATCAAAACAATTATTTGAAAAGTGAATTTGTTGATTTGTCTCCATGATCCTAGGTAATTTTGATCATTTATGAGAATTTCTATAATTTTGTTTATTATTGATTATATATTTAAAACTAATGTATATTAATAATATGATATTTTAGAAAATAATTTAATACTTATGTATTATGCTGTTATGTTGAAATTTTTTTTTTCTATTATAAAATTTAAAACTAACATGTTAAAAATCTATAATATTATTTAAGAAGGGAATTTGATGACTAATGATTTTTCATATTTTCCATGATTTTAGGTAATTTTGATAATTTATCAATTTATATAATTTTATGTATTAAGTATTATATATATTTTAAAAAATTATAATAACAGTATCAGATTCTTAAAAAATAAAATACTTCTTATGTATTAAGTTGCTGTCTTGAAAATATATTTTTCTATTAGAAATTTAAAATGAAAATATAAAAAGTTGTAGTTGTTCTATAATTGAAATAAATTTACACTAATAATATTATACTTTTAGAGAATATGGTAATTCTTATGTATTATGTTGTTATCCTGAAAATATATTTTGGTATTATACAATTTAAAACTAAAATAGAAAATTATCTATTATTAATTAATATAAATTATCACTCAAGAAAAAATATTTAAGAAGTTAATTTGTTGATTCATTAAGTTCTCAATGATTTTAGGTAATTTTAACTATATGTCATAATTTTTATAATCTTATATAATTATTATATAGTTAAAAAAATTATCATATTATATTTTCAGAAAATAAAATTATGCATTATATTGTTATCTTGAAAATATGTTTTTCTAATATAAAATTAAAATTAAGATATAAATATTATATATAAATCATGAAAAATAGTTATAGAAATATACTCTTTTAAATATTTATGATGTTTGAGTTTTGTCATTGATAATTATTGAAAAAGGCCAAAATAGTCTCAATCCAAGTTTCTATCACAAAATAGCCCACAAGGCCCATTATCCCAAAAATAGGTTTCATTAATGTGCTCATTTACCATTATATCCTTCTCTTCTTTTGTCTAATTAATTATTAAAAAAAAAAAAAGAAATTGAAATCAGGCGACGGCATCTCCGACGACGACGGCATCTCGTCATCTCCGACGACGGCATCTCGTCATCTCCGACGACGGTTTATCATCTCGTCTTCTCCGACGACGCTTATCATCTCGTCTTCTCCGACGACGGCGTCGTTCATCGTATCAGAAGACAGCATCTCGTCATCTCCGACGACGGTTTATCATCTCGTCTTCTCCGACGACGCTTATCATCTCGTCTTCTCCGATGACGGCGTCGTTCATCGTATCAGAAGTATGTGGTATATTTATTTTCAATTATCAGTTTGATGAATTGATGCTATGATCCATTTTGATGGATTTTATGATTTTGGTTTAAAGTGATTTGGTAACGATGATGAGATTTGCTTTTGACAATTTTTGTTCGTTTGTGTTTGTGTTTTTGAGATTTACATTGAAATCGAGATACAAATTCAACTTTATCATTGATACATTGACATTACCTTGTGTTTTGAGTATTGGTCTTGTGCTTGTGGTTGTGAAACTTTGTAGTACTTTAAAAAATTTAGGAAGGATTTATGTAGTTTCAGGATGAGTTTCTAGAAAAGCAAATTCGATGTTAAAACTCATGATGGATGATTTTGAAACTTTGTAGTGTTTTTAAAATTTCTGGAACGCTTTCCATAATATTTGATAATACCATTCTTACGCCTGTTGATATCTTTTTGGTATTCTCGTGATCTTCCTTATTACATTGTTAGTCTTTTACTTGTTTTCTGATGAGATGATTGTGAAACTTTGTAGTGTTTTTAAATTTTCAGGAAAGCTTGCCATTATATTTGATGATAACAAATTTGAATCTTTTTTTGCTTTTGTGTCTTGTTGTTTTCCTTATGCCTGTTGATATCTTTTTGGTAGTCTCGTGATCTTCCTTATTACATTGTTAGTCTCTTACTTGTGTTCTGGTTTTTAACAGATATTGAACTATGGCTGAAGTGTTTTGTGTCTGTAGACAATGGACCTCGAAAGAGTCTCTGCAGTGGGAGTTTACCGCTGATGCAAATAGAAATGCATCCTTCATTTACATAGAAGAAGATACCGAGTATGAAGAGTTGAAGAAGATTATCTCTGAAGATTTTAATCTTAAAGAGAAAGAGATCAATTTGAGTTATGGGATTTCATTGGATATGAAAACTATTGTTGAAGGCTTCCCCCCCCCATCTCTATAGGTAACTCTCGTCATCTCAGAACTTTCATCGGCAAGATTAGAGCATTTGATGGAACTTCCCGGTTGTGTGTTAAGGTTTGTATCTTTTTTCAATCAAATATTTTTTCAGGATAACTTTCCTAATAATGTATTAATCCTTTCAGAACAACTCGACTTTTTGCAGGTTAATACTGCTTCAGCTAGCTACAACAATCAAGCATCTGATTTTTTTGCTTCTCATGTTCCATTGAATGCTACTCCAGTGTTTAGCTCTACTGTGCAGAGAGAAAAAGAGGTACTAATCCTTAGATTGTTCAGGATAGGTTTTATGATTTTTTCTTACTTATACATTTCAGGATAGCTTTCCTAATAATGTATTAATCCTTCCAGAACAACTCGACTTTTTGCAGGTTAATACTGCTTCAGCTAGCTACAACAATCAAGCATCTGATATTTTTGCTTCTCATGTTCCATTGAATGCCACTCCAGTGTTTAGCTCTACTGTGCAGAGAGAAAAAGAGGTGCATCATTTTTCTATTCTTTTTTGTTTTGTTCTTGTT